TATGAATTAAAACTGTGGTAACATCAAGTGCAGATATAATGAACAAATGCCAGTATAAGAAATGAGTCACCAAATGGTTGGTAGTACTACGAGAACTTGCATTAATTTGTAACATTGTTTTGATGGAAAAGTACTACATATATTATTTAAAACATTCTTTTTGTTTTGAATAATATACAGATTTATGTAAAACATTTTAGCTAGCGATTACATTAATCATTCATTTTATGGAAATATTAGGTATTTGAAATCTATAATTGAATAATAAATAATTAATTTTTAACTGGAACGAATTATTTAAAAAGAGTTTACATTTTTTATAGTAAACAAAGACATTTATACACGTTTTTTTATTTACTATGACACGAATTGGTAATATTTTGTCGACCAGGAGACAAACGTGATTGTTTTAGAACATATTTTAGAAACATAGATGAATGTTTAAGTAGAGAATGGATAAAAGATATAAATTAAAGATTTCTTATGCAGGCCATTCACGTTCCGACTTGTGGTACGACTAGTGGTCCAACTTTTGCAGTTGGATCTGAAATCGGACCGTGAGTGTGCTAGTTGGATTAGTTGGACAACTAGTGGTACGACTCGGAACATCTAGTGGGACGACTTAAAGATCCGACTTCCGACTGGCGACGAAGTCGGAGCGTGAATGGTGAAGTTGGAAGTCGGATCACAGGTTGGATAGAAAATTTCCTCAGTCAGTTGATCTTTGGCACCTGTTACGTATTAGATTTCCATGAAATACTTTACGCAAAGATCTCTAGTTCGCGAATATTTAATAGAAAATAAACTTTCAATTGCACGAAAATTACCTTTTTGTTAGACCAAATCATTTTCCTTTCTGTAGATCTATTTCGGACAGTCCTATACAGGTAAATTTCCGATACTCCGGATTTTCTACGGAAGAATTATCAACAAACAATGAAAATTAAATCATAGTTGTAGCAAAAGATCCCCAGTTCGCAAAAAAATAATAGAAAATAACTTTCAATTGCACAAACAATAATTATTCCTATTAAAAATATACGACACACAAACAAAAAAATAAATCCCAGCTCCAGTTTAAAACAAATAAAATATAGATTTTATACCTACACAAATCTTTAAAAACTATAATTTTTTCCTACATCTTAAAAAGTCATAAAAATCAAGAGTTGAAAAAATTAATTAGTTCAGCCCTAGACAAATACCTAGAGAAACTAAACCTAATTTTTAAATTATCATAACATACAATAAAGATAACAAGCACAGTGCTGTCATTTTTCTCCTCCTAATTATATTTTGCGTAGTGTTTATTCGATACATCCTAGAACTGAAGTTGGACCGCTAGTTGGATAGAAAGTCGGAGCGTGAGTGGAGACGAACATCCAACTAGTGGTCCTACTTAGTGGTACCACAAGTCGGAACGTGAATGGCCTGCATTACGTATTAGATTTCCATGAAATACTTTACGCAAAGATCTCTAGTTAGCGAATATTTAATAGAAAATAAACTTTCAATTGCACGAAAATTACCTTTTTGTTAGACCAAATCATTTTCCTTTCTGTAGATCTATTTCGGACATTCCCATACAGGAAAATTTCCGATACTCCGGATTTTCTACGGAAGAATTATCAACAAACAATGAAAATTAAATCATAGTTGTAAGAAAAGATAGGAGAAAATAATAGAAAATAACTTCAATTGCACGAAAAATTATTCCTATTAAAAATATACGACACACACACAACAAAATAAATCTCAACTCCAGTGTAAAACAAATAAAATATAGATTTTATACCTACACAAATCTTTAAAAACTATAATTTTTTCTTACATCTTAAAAAGTCATAAAAATCAAGGGTTGAAAAAATTAATTAGTTCAGCCCTAGAAAAATATCTAGAGAAACGAAACCTAATTTTTAAACATACATATCATAACATATATATAAGGATAACAAGCACAATGCTGCCATTTTCTTCCTCCTAATTATATTTTGCATAGTGTTTATTCGAAACATTTTTTGGTTAAGCGATGTACACCATCGTGAAAACAACCTAGACTCTGAAGTTGGATCGCTAGTTGGATAGAAAGTCGGAGCGTGAGTGGAGACGAACATCCAACTAGTAGTCCAACTAAGTGGGACCACAAGTCGGACCGTGAATGGCCTGTCTTAGAATTAACTTCTAATTTTGGCTAAAATGCACACAGCGGTTAAATACATTTGTAAATCTAACAAGGCCAGAAGAATCGAAGATTGGTTTGATGAAGAATGTATATCTTCAAACCAAACAAAAAATGAAGCATATAAGAGACTCAAGAAGCACATAATGAGATTAACTCTGGAAGATTATGAGAACCTTATTTTATATAGTGCAACATCCTAATTCTACTTTAGCTGCATCTCCACCCTGGCTTTCTACATTAATTTTCTTTTCAATTACGAGATGGGTTGAATTTTTTGACGTCATTTTAAATTTAACGGTCATTAAATCAAAGAAGCAGGTATCACCCTAGCAGATCAAAATTATTGGATTTTATTCAACCCAAACGAAAGACTACCTACCACTGAAGAGGTTGCCCAAACCATTAAAAGACTTAAAAATAATAAAGCACCAGGAACGGATCAAATTTGTGGTGCGCTCTACAAGAACGGTGGCGAGATCTTGATACAAGCACTGCATAAACTTTTATTTCTTGTCTGGCAAAATGAGATCATGCCCTGTGAATGATCTTAAGGCGTGATATGCCCGTTTAATAAAAAAGGCGGTTAGCTCTAGTGCGAAAACTACAGAGAACGACTGCTTACAAAATACTAGCAAATATTCTCTACGAGACACTACAAGTTTACACACTTGGCATAATTGGAAAATACCAGAAAATACTAGGCCAGATGCCAGTGTCAAGAGAACAGAACTTTACCAATCAATACATGAGTTTGTTATACCAGAAAAATTTATCTGATTAACGTGAATTACAACGCTTAACTTAAAAGACAGCTTTAGGAAACAGGGAGAAAATTCTCGATCCTTTGAGATAAAGGATGAACTCAGACAAGGAGATGCACACTAATTAGAGACGGCGGTACTATTTACAATAGATCGATACAAATCTTAGCATATGCTGATGACATTGACATAATGTAGCAAGCGAGATGTTGAACAATATTTCCTAGAATTGGAAATGGCGGCGAAACGGGTCGGCCTAGTCATCAACGAAGACAAAACCAAGTAAATGTTGGTTACTAAAGATCCTATAGCAAATAATGAACGAAAAACAGCCTTTGGAAGTCATATCTTTGAACAAGTTGATAGCTTTACATACCTTGACTCGCTAGTGACTACTACCAACAAAACAAGCGAAGATATTAAAAGGTGAAGAATAAAGGTTACAAATGTGGCATACTATGGACTTCAAAAACAATTTTACTCAGGAAATATCCAAAAAACAAACTAAAATTTTTATATACAAAATATTGCTGAGGCAGGTCCTCAGATAAGCGGCGGAAACATAGTTTCTAACGCAGAGAATGAAAGACTTCTGGGAATATTCGAGCGTAAGATACTTCGCAAAATATTTAAGGTCATAAAATATCAAGGGCAGTGGCGCTGAAATATTTTCGAATTATACCAACTCTTTAATGAACCAGACGTCGTGTTAATTTTCCTTTTTTATTTGTTTTCCTTATAATATCTCCAGGTTTTTCCCAAATTTATCTGAGCATCTTTGTAATTAAATCGTCCAAGAGGAGCCATTTGTGGCCATACTTGTAATTTCAATATCCTTTCAAAACTAGTTTTAAGTAATAAACCAACACTTCCAGCTAAACTTTCAATATTTCCACTATTTATATATGCATGAATAAAATCTATTGCGAATACAAAATCACTAGCCCATATATTTTCTGGATTATTTTTGAGATAGGTTACCTCGTGATGTAAAGCCAATAAATTATAAAAATATTTATGTTTTTACATAACTACAGGATATCTTCTAAAATATATATACTGGGTAAAATAACAAAGACTTTCGTGTTAACAGATGGCGGCAACGACGGCTACCTACCCGTGGGGGGGGGGGCGACAAAACGATCGACCTATGGTCATGATCATGTTCAAGATCATCGTTCATTAAAACATAGAGACTTAGATGGGCTGGCACATAATTTAAATGCCTGACAATATGATTGCTAAAAAGCTAACGACGGGAACACGACAGGCTAATGAAAGAAACTAAACAGAATGGCGACGAATCTTAGACCAGGCCAGAATGAACCGAAGATTGTGGAACCAAAGATAATGATGATAATGATATCTCGGAAGAAATAGCCGTTGCTATGTATATGTATAATCGTATAATAAAACGGAAGGAAAAAATATTGTCTAAATCCCATTTTTAAATAGTCATATACAACACAAACTATACAATACACCTACAAACCACTGTCTGGCCGTATTCGAGCTGTCCGTTGTGCACGTTGTTCAATAAGAGTACATAGTTAGTTAGGTTACAACAACCGGCTGGTCAAAAGCTGATCGTATTGTCGAAATGTAACCGGTGTGACCAACTGGCTGCAACAGCCACGTGTGTTTGGCCCATTACAACTTATGTAAAATTGGCCGGATACATCCAGCCGCAATACTGGCTGTGGCCGGAATCGCAGCAGTGTCCCAATATTACTCGTATTAAGTCAAGACCCAAAACAAGGCAAGACAAAGATAAAAAAGATCAAGAAGAGCGAAGAATATTTATGAAGTTTATGGGTTCTCTGATGATGATGTTGATTATGACAATGATTACGATAAAAAACTATTTTTTAAGCCAAATTCATATCTGATATTTATTTTTACCATAACCATACAGTAATTATATTTAAAGCTGTACCTACCATTTATAGGCTTGACCATTAACTTTTATTTTACCCTTCTGCAGGAACAAAAAAATTAAGAAAAAATACTAGAAATATATAAAGTTCCCAATTAACATAATTAATATTTTCACTTACTTTGTGACACATTCATACTTGGATGCGGTTTCGAAACAGTTGGACAAGCTGATTGAAGTTGAAAATAAATCAGGAAGAGCCTTTGGAGCTTTCGATGTTGAATTTTTCTTGCCTTCTTCATTACTTTGGTCCTCGTCACTGTCTTCGTCATCATCGGTACTCTCTTCTCTTTCGATGCAAACGTTCTTTCTGTAAAAAAATGAACACTGTTATTTCCTGAAGAAATATCTATAATTCAATTAATTATTAATAATACATACAACATTAAAAAAAACTTTCTACAGTCGCAGAGACGAAAATGCCACTGAACCTCTAAAAATCATACGGACATTTGCCGAAGATGTCAATTTTAGGACACTAAAGAGGCCCAAGAAAGGTTAACCATTTTTATCCCTTGGTTTTCCTCTAAAACTCCCTACGTAGATGTGGAAAACGAAAAAAAAATCGATTTATTAAGAATGTTTACGCTATAGAAAAAAATGTTTCAAATAAAAAATGTAGCTATGATAATTTTGAACAAAAACGTTTATAAGCATTTTTTGTGTAGAATAAACCGTTCTCTTAGAAACAACGATTGAAGCGATCGACGATTTTGAATGTCAGTGCCAATGTGTAACGCCAAGACTACCAAAGAGAATTGAAATACTATTATATAAATAATACCCAATTAACCATGGGAGCTTATCGTCCATGCTTCACCTTGTGTGAATTCGTCTTGTCTTAAACTATTAATTAAACCATAAAGCCTTAGCTGATAGCAAATAAAACAATTATTTAACTTATCATATTTATTAAAAATAAAAAAACTATATTTAAGTAGCAAAAAACGACCCTGCCAATACTTTACAGTAAAAATATTTGGACGATACTTATGGCATCGATGTCTGCTTCATCATCATCATCATTTGGCTCTACGACTCTATGTGAGTCTTAGCCGCGTTTACTGTTTGCCTCCATTGTTGTAGGTCCTGAGCAGCTATCGATGTCTGCTTACTACTAGATACCTGTGGCCTCCATATTAGATAGTTAGGCCCTCCTGACAGCTGTATTTAGGTCCTCCAGAGCATGTTATTCCACATTATTCCATATAATATTTAGAAATTTCCCATAAAATCACCAATAAAGTCTTCTATACAGCCAATAAACCCAATAAATCCAATAAACTCTCCAATACACCCAATAAACCCAAGAGAATTCTGCAGGACATAAAAAAAATTTGCCGCAAATGAACTCCGTTTTTATAAAGGTATTAAATAAATGTGGCGCGATTTTTGCCATTTTTTATTATTCTCAAGAGATCAGTACAATGTATTCCTTTTATTGATCGGCCACTATAAAGTTTCCATAACTAGAACATAATCTGCAAAACCTATAGCATGCAATTTTAGTTTGAGATTTTGGCATCAAATGTGCGGCATTTGAAATATACTTAAAAAACGCCGAAACTTTTACATTACAAACGATCTAAAACAATTAAAACTGCTCTTCTTCAATTACACTAGTATGTTTTTCAAAATTGCCTAACTTTTGCTACAAATTACACCCAAAATGGTCTCCTTGGCAAAATTGTAAAAAATGGCAAAATCACGCAAACTTTATTTATTGAACAGCTTTCTAGAAACTGACTTTATTGGCAGCCTAATACAAAAATTATATACGAAAGCTGTACTTTTCATCATGAAAACACGAGATTCGATTTTTCGAGTTCCGAAAGTGATATTTTACGAGATGAGTTGGAAGTTTCCAGGGCGAGCCGTAGGCGAGTCCTGGAATCCTGGGAATCTCGTAAAATTGCTTTTGAATCGTGTTACGTACAATATTTTTTCTGCAGCCGTTTTGTATGTTAAAAAGAATATATGGATAAACTTTACTTATGAACTTTTATTAAACACTTTAAAATTACTCTCGTGAATTCAACATTAGAAAAATCTACTTATGAATAATAATAAAACAATTATCACAATTATTTACATAGATATTGTTAGGAATATTAACAGAAGTGATTTTTTTTTATTATTGAGTTAATGCCTCAACAACTAAGATCATTGGCATGGTACAGTCAGGTACCTAGTGTAGTGTGTGCGTGAGTGTGTATAGTAATTCTCTAACTCTTATGTTATCCATTTAATACTTAGCAGAGTCGACGTCATTATCTTTGCTAAGAGACGCTCATTGTATCCGAACGTCTGCGGTCCCTCCGGTGAGTACCGATCGTACAAGGATAGAAATTATTTTCATCCATTAATTTTTAATAAACGAAAATTTCTCCACCCAGATGAGATTCGAACTCACGACCCTTAGGTTTAAAGGTAGGCGCTCTTACCACTGAGCCACAGAGGGGGTTTCAGAAGTGAATTGAAGTGAATTGAAAAACGAAAAAAATTAGTCCCGAAAGTAGCTACTTTCGGTACGTAGAGTTGTGTAAAAGGGTACTTTCGATTTAATAAATCATACCAAAAATTTTATTTTCGGGATGGCTGCAGAAAAACTTTATTTTTATAAGTATATTTATAAACAACTGAAGTTTCTGCAATGATCTACACATCAAAAAATATGATTTCTCTTTAGACTAAACCTCGCATTAATTATTTCAAGTTGAGTGCACATGAATCTAAACAGAATATATTTAATTTGCAGCAACTAAAAAGTGGGTTAATAAATTCGGCTTAGAAAATCATTATTAAATTGATGAATAATTATAAAAAAAACAATTTATTTAATTCTAGTCATTTTAATTAAATGTAAATCCTTCACACACTTAAACCGCCTGGCAGTCGTTAAGTAATTATATGTACAGGAGGACGTAAAAAGCCAAACAATCATTAAGTTTCAGATTAGATTAATGTTAAAAAAAGTATTATCAAATCGTTATATATTAGAACCGAACTTATTTATTCTAAAAAAAATTGAAAAAAGGGTAATACGTATTTAACCTTATTTTTCTGTCATAATATGTTGCTGCTCATTTTAAATTTCTTGCTGCCATTGGCACATTGATATTGTCACGTCAACTCCTCCGCGGACTTCTTTCTTTATATTTTATCGTTTTCGGGAAGATAATTTTAATAATGTCTTTATCTTTGATGAAAGTTGTTTCCAGTTGGTACAAATCATCTAAAAGTCCTATCAAGAGAAAATGTTATCGTTCAAATTTCCTCCCACTAAAATATTGGTTTGGGGAGCAATGTCTCAGCGTGGTGCTACACATCTCTGTATAGTTAATGGCACTGTTGATAGTGCGAAATATTGTGACATCCTAAATGGTTTTCTTCTTTAAACAATATAATGCAAGATACCATACTTCTGCTTATACTCAAGCTTGGATGCAAGAACACGAATTGCATGGCCAGCGGTATCTCCACATCTTCTCTTTGTCAACCATTTTTATTCACTCCTGAATGTAGGTCTCTCCTAATTGCTTCCATATTTCTCTATCTTACGCCAATCTAATCCACTGTTTGCCTGCTATCCGTCTTATGTCATCTACCCATCTTTTTTGAGCTCTTTCCATGCTTCTTGTCGTCCTTGGTCTCCATTCTAGAATTCTTCGTGTCCACCCGTTGTCATTATATCGGGCTACGTGAACTGCCCAGCGCCATTTCATTTTTGTAATTTCTTCCACAATATCCCTAATCTTCGTTCTACGTCTTATCTCGGTGTTTCTAATCTTGTCTCTTAGTGATATTCCAAGCATGATTCATTCCATTGCTCTTTACGTTGTTTCTAATTTTTTAGCAGATTTTTTGGTAAGGGCTACTGTCAATAAGCCGTGGGTACAAACTGGTAGTATGTATGTGTTACACACTTTTCTTTAATGTTGCGGGAATGGAGGTGTTTTTCAATATATATACTAATATATACTAAGATATATACTAATATATATACTAATATATATACTAGTTTGCCAAAAGTGCCCCATGCCAGTTGTGTTATTTTAATTTCAGCATCTTGATTTGGTTTTCCTAGTTTGATGACATGATCTAGATATACATAATGTTCAACATTCTCTATGGTATGATTTTGTATTGTTATATTTGTGTGGTCTAAGCTCAGTATTTTTGTTTTACTGAAGTTCATTTTTAAGCCTAACGCTCCTAAAACTGCATTTAATCGTTGTAACATATCATTTAGTTCTTGAATATTATCGGAAATTAAAACTATGTCATCTGCGAATATCAAGTGGTTTAAATATGATTCGTCGACGTTGATACCCTTGTTGTTCCATTCTAGTTTCTTAAAAATGTCTTTTAGAGCAAGGGTAAATAGTTTGAGAGAGATGGTGTCTCCTTGTCTTACTCCCCGTTGTAGTCTTATGGGATTAGTTTTTGTGCTTTCGTCCCAGCTTTATCTGCATGGTGGCATTTTCATACATGTTTTTAATTATGTTAGTGTATCTTGAATCTATGCGTGTATTTTCTAGAGATTCAAGCACTATCCATAATTCGATGGAATCGAATGGTTTATGGAAATCGTCGAACGCAATATGAATTGGAACATTATACTCGGTGCATATTTCTATGTTCTTACGGTGAACAAGTGGTACTAAAATAATTTCCGAATCCAGCCTGCTCGATAGGTTGATAGAAATGGAGCTTATGTGTTAGGCGGTTGATTATGATTTTAGTTAGTAATTTATAAAGATGTGATAGTAAGGATATTGGTCGGTAATTCTCGATGTTGGCTTTGTCTCCTTTCTTGAATAGTAGAATGACTTCGGAGTTGTACCATACTTGAGAAATCTTTCCTCTATCAATTATATTATATTTAATACGTGTTCCATCTGTCCGCCAACAATTTTCAACATTTCAACTGTAATTTTATCCTCTCCCGGACATTTATTTGTTTTTAGTTGATTCAGGGCCATTCTTATTTTATAGTCGGTTATGTCCGGTATTTCTTCTAAGCCGGTGTTAATTATTGTTCGTTCAGTACGTCGTTGTAGGTATGTGGAGGTTTTGTGGAGAGTGCGGAAAGAGAAAGAGCTGATACTTACTGTTAAAAAGCGCAAACTACAATATTTGGGACATGTTATGAGGGGAGATAAATACCAGTTGCTGCAATTGATTATACAGGGAAAGATAATGGGAAAGAGATCTATAGGAAGAAGAAGGCATTCATGGTTGAAAAACTTGAGAGAATGGTACAATTGCACCAATTACCAACTGTTTAGATCTGCAGCATCAAAAATA